AAATGTCCCCCTTGATACTGGTTTTACTGTATCCCATAAAATTTTGGTATTTTGTGTCTTCATTTGTCTCAAGATATTTTTTAAATTTTCTTTTCAATTTCTTTTTCAACTCATTTGTTGTTCAAGAGTATATTGTTTAATTTCCATATATTTCTGAATGTTCTAGTTTTTGTTTTGCTTTTGATTTCTGGGTTAATTCCATTGTGGTTGGGAAAGATACTTGATATGATTTCTGTCTTCCTAAATTTAAGACCTGTTTTGTGACCTAACATGATTGGTCTTAGAGAGTGATCTGAATGTGTTGAGAAGAATGTGTATTCTGTTCTGCTGCTATAGGGTGGAACGTTCTGTATATATCTGTTAGATCCATTTGGTCTGTGGTGTTAACTCTTTCCTTCCAGATTTTCTGTCTGGATGTTCTGTATTCATTGTTGAAAATGAAGTATTGAAGTCATTGTATTGCTGTTTATTTCTTCCTTCACTTCTGTCAGTGGTTGCTTTATATATTTAGATGCTCTGATGTTGGGTACATATATATTTATCATTGTTACATATAATTCTTGGTGTATTGACCCTTTTATCATTGTCTCTTGTGACAGTTTTTGATGTAAAGTCTGTTTTGTCTGATACAAGGTTAGTCCCCTTCCCCCTGCTCTCTTTTGGTTACTATTTACCTGGAATATCTTTTTCCATTCCTTCACTTTCAGCCTTTGTGTGTCCTTAAATCTAAATTGAGTCTCTTGTAACAGCATGTAGTGGGACCTTAGTTGTTATTATTTTTTTTAAATACATTCAGCTTCTCTATGTCTTTTAGGGAATTGAATCCATTTACATTTAAAGTACTTATTGATAGGGTAGGATTTACCGTTGCCATCTTGTTCATTGTTTTTCTGAGTGATTTTTCGGTCTTTTTCATTCTTTTCCTCTCTTGCTGTCTTCCTTTGTGTTCCCTTGTTTTTATATAGTGACATGCTTTGATTTCTTTCTCATTCTTTTGCATATCTTCCATAGGTATTTTCATTGTGGTCACCATGGGACTTCCATAAAAGATCTTAGAGCGATCTATGTTAGGCTGATAACAACTTCAGTCACATACAAAAACTATGTTTTTGCTTCTCCCTGGCCCCACCCTCACCCCAGCACTTGAACTCAAATAGATCATTTTAGTTTTTTATACATAAGGTTTTTTTTTTTCCCCTGTAAAAATAGGGATAATCTATTCTTTAAAAAAATCTGTTCTGTTAACCCAGGGGTTCTCAAAGTATGGTTTGCACGCCCATAGAGGGTCCCTAGAGATTTTTTTCAACAGGGTCCATTTAGTCAAAACTGTTTCCATAATAATTCTGAGATGGTATTTGTCTTTTTCACCATGTTGACATTTGTAATGATGGGGCAAAGGCAACTGGGAAAACCTGCTGGCGCTGGGCCAAATTGTACTAATGGTCATTTTGTGCTGCTACATACTTCCAGTGAAACTAAGTGCCAGTTTTACTTAAAGCTGTCTTTGGGGAAGTAGATAATTAATTTTGTTAAATCTAAACCCTTGGGTATATGGGTTGGTTTTTTTTAAGATACAAATTTTATTTTATTTTATTTTTAATTTTCTTATTTAAAGTCCAGTTTGTTGGGCACATGGGTGGCTCATTCAGTTAAGTGTCTGCCTTAGGCTCGGGTCATGATCCCAGGGTCCTGGGATCGAGCCCCATGTTGGGCTCTCTGCTCAGCGGGAGCCTATTTCTCCCTCTCCCTGCCACTCCCCCTGCTTATACTCTCTGTCAAATAAATGAATAAAATATTTAAAAAGTAATAATAAAATCCAGTTAGTTAACATACAATGTAATATTATTTTCAGATGTACAATATAGTGATCAACACTTCCATATAACACCGAGTGCTCATAGCATGGGTATGTGTTTTTTTAAGATGCGTGATGAAATGGGAAGTATGCAGAAGCACTTCTGCATACTCAAGTATACTACTTGTTTTAAGGAAAAGTACATGTGTATTTGACTGCTTTTGTGAACTCAATTAGCTGCTTTTTTTTTTTGAAGATTTTATTTATTTATTTGAGAGAGAGAGTGCAAACAGGAGGGAGAGGGAGAGAGGATCTGAAGCAGATTCCATGCTGAGCGAAGAGTCTGACACGGGGTTTGATCTCACAACCCTGAGATCATGATCTGAACTGAAACCAAGAGTCAGACACTCAGCTGACTGAACCACCCAGGTGTGGTTAGCTGCTTTTTAAATGAAATACCATTTTACTCGAAAGAATGACTGTGGTTACACAGACATGGGTATTTGCCAGGTGTTTTCTTGGAAATGAATGAAGTGAGCTTGTCATTTCATGGAAAACAGCCGACAGTATTTATTGCCCATGGTAAAATGTAAGCTTTTCAAGTGAAAATTAGAATTTGGGGAAACTTGTATTCACCACCCTGTGCTTTGGCAGCTTTAAAGAGTGTTCTGATAAGGTGATTGGTGATATTAATGTGATTTCTTTTTTTACATTATATGATGCAGTGTATCAACATTTGGAAGGTCTGCATAAGCCAGTGAACCAGTATTTTCCAAAATATTAAAAAATATGTCATAAAATCATGAGTAAAAAGATCTACTTACCATGGGAGATAGACCATTGGATTTTAATGTAACAAACAAGTTCACTGATCTGGTTTGCCCTTCCACATTCTAACTAACCTTTAAGAAACTACCACTTGTCAAGTTTTGGTGTAGTATCAAAGAAGAATATCTTCACAGTGATTTCAGAAAGCTGTTAAAATACTCCTTTTCCCATCTCTGCATGTCTGAGGCCAGATTTTCTTAATATAGATAAAAGAAAATCATTTCTTCATTCACAACACTTCTGACATGTGTGGGTTTTCCACACCAAGCAATTCTCCAGTTCTCGGTGGGGTCCTACAGTTTAGTTCATTCTGGCACTAACTACCCAGAGTTAGTGCTGACCTCACAGGTTAAGGGCTCAGTCCCACAAGATTGCCCCCCCCCCCATTTCAGATGCCAGCTGCAAGTTTCAAGTTATCACCTGTACTTCTGGCCAACCAGCTATATAAATCTGGGGTTTCCACAACCTCTCCTCATGTTCAGTAATCTTTTATAATAGCTCACAGAATCTGGGGAACCCTTTACTGGCTTATTATAAAGTACATTATAAAGCATACAGATGAACCACCAAGTGAAGAGGTGCAGAGGGCAAGGTCAAGAAGGATCCCAAGGGCACCTGGGTGGCTCAGTCGTTAAGCATCTGCCTTCGGCTCAGGTCATGATCCCAGGCTCCTGGGTTCGAGCCCCACATCGGGCTCCCCGCTCCACGGGAAGCCTGCTTCTCCCTCTACCACTCCCCCTGCTTGTGTTCCCTCTCTCGCTGTGTCTCTGTCAAATAAATAAATAAAATCTTTAAAAAAAAAAAGCTGAAATAACATTTAAAAAAAAAACATGGATTTAAAAAAAAAGAAGGATCCCAAGGAGCCCCTGTCTTTGTGGGGTTGGGGTGTGCCACCCTTCCAGCAAATGGATGCATTCACCAACCCAGAAGTTCTCTGAACCACTTCATTCAGGGGTTTTATGGTTCTGTAACGTGGGCGTGATTAGTTAAATTATTGGCCATTGGTGATTAACTTAGTGATCCCCAGCCCTTCTACCTGCCCTGGAGGATGGGAAATGGGGCTGAAAGTTCCATTGCTGTAATCACATGGTTGGTTCCTCTGGCAGCCAGCCCCATTCTGCAAGTCACCTCAACCATAAACTTCCCTATGGTTGAAAGAGGCTTATTATGAATAACAAAATATGCTTCTCTCACCCCTACCACTCAGGAAATTCCAGGGGTTTTAGAAAAGCTCTCTGGCAGCAGCAAGGATGAAGACTATATGTATGTATGTGTGTAAATATATATATACATATATTGATTATATCACTATCAAAATAGACTTCAGCCAACACAAAATAGCACAGCAGATTGAATGCCAAAGCAGATATGAAATCAGAGCAGTTTCGTATCAAGACAGAGTGTTGCAAAAATGGAAAATAATGCCCTCTTCCCAGTAATTTTTTTCAGTTTGGAAAATAGTTTTTTTCCATAAAAAATGTATTTAACATATATAAGATTTACTGTTAACTTTAACTGAGTCAGTAATTTTTCTTGTTTCTTTATTTCTAATACCTTAATATCTATAGATAAAACTCCCTGGCAGGAAGCTGAGGTCTAAGAGGAGACTGGTCTGAATTTACAGTTTGACAAAAGTTCTTTAGGTTCCTCAGTAATTTAGGGTTGCAAAGAAGTCCTGAAACTAAAAAGTTTGAGATTCATTGTTTTAACCTTCTAAGGTTGTTGAAAGTTAAACAGATGTATTCATAAACGTGAAATAGTTTTGTAAAATATTTTCAGTGTAGGTTTATAAATATTTTTTTAAAAAGATTTTATTTATTTAATTGACAGAGAGGGAGAGACAGCGAGAGAGGGAACACAAGCAGGGGGAGTGGGAGAGGGAGAAGCAGGCTTCCCACCGAGCAGGGAGCCCGATGCGGGGCTCAATCCCAGGACCCTGGGATCATGACCTGAGCCGAAGGCAGTTGCTTAACCAACTGAGCCACACCGAAGCACCCCAATATTTTTTTATTTTTAACAGCCCTTGCGGTTACATTGCTGTGCAAGTCCCTCAAGTTGAGACTTTGGAGAAGAGACATGGAAAGAGAACATGCAGAAGTAATTGCTATTACGAAGCTCATTAGTTTAGATGGGGAGTGGCAGGGGGGGATTCACATAGAACTCTGTTCCACAAACCAAACAGTGAAAATGTAACATGCTGGAGGCTGTTTTGTCCTAAATACGTTGTTATATATATTTATATCTGTAATACACGTATATGTATTTGTGTGTGTGTGCTTGGTCGTACCACAAACAGCTCTTGCTTTTCATGATTCTAGTCCATTACTCGTCCAAGTTGCTCTTTAAATTTTGAAGTTGTTCCCTTCTTCCCTTGCAGGTATAGAACAAGATGCAGTGAATACTTTTACCAAATATATATCTCCAGATGCTGCTAAACCAATACCAATTACAGAAGCAATGAGAAATGACATCATAGGTAAGCAGTGCTTGAAGCTATGGCAAAAAAAAATAATAAGAATGCATGTTTTTGGTTATTAGCTAAGAGATTTTTTATGAACATGGAATTCAACATATCCCTTCCTACTCTGTTTTCAGAGCACTTTATTATATGAACTGTATCTCACTTGAAATTTTCCTGTCTCATATGTTGGACCTGAATTCTTAGACTTTGACTCAGATAACAACAGCGGCAAGGAAACAATAATAGCACACATTCATTGAGTGCTCACTGTGGCTCAGACAGCATTGTAGGCGCTTTCCATGGATGAACTCTAATTTTCTAAAGAACCTTGTAACATAAATATAGTTACTGTTTTTTAAATGAGGCCTCGGAAGCACAAAGAGGGTAAATAATTTGCCCAAAGTAACACAACTCAGACACGCAGAGTCAGGATTTGAAAATAGACGCCTACACATTAACTAGTATGTTACTTGGCAGTGTTTTTCAAACTAAATTCAGACCAGTCTCCTCTTAGACCTCAGCTTCCTGCTAAAAAAAAAAAAAAAAGACTAGAACAGAAAAATTGAAGTGCTCAGTAATAAGGGCAAACATCATTTCAGAACATTGTTTTCATATACGTAGGTCATAGTAAGAAAAAAATTGAAAGTTTTTGCTGTGTTGTATCAGGACCTTAGGTGCACCTGTAATTACAGATGACAGTGGTTTGTTGATTAAATAAATATTTATTATATTCCCATCAAGTCCTAGGACTGAGTTTTGTATTTTTATTACAGGGACTTTGTATTTTTGATTTATGAAATAAATCATGTTATTCTGCATGTTTTTCTACTCCTCACTGATTCTTCCCAGCATGGGGCTCTTTAAATCTTTACCATAGATACTTTGACTCGCTCATCACTGGACACAGTAAAACCTGTCTGAGCTGTGGTTCTTAAATTGACCCACCATACTTTCCAGTGAACAACTGTTGGCTATTTTGGGGCCCATCAGATGCTGGCCCCATTGTTCTCCTTTTCTTTCTTCCACACAGACGCCTATAACATGTAGGTCTTGTGGCTGGTGGTGGTTTGTCCCCATTTGCTTGTATTTTGGGTTTTCACCCTGTTTTGTTGCAAATGTTGTCATTGGATTTTGGCTTTTCTATGTAGTTCCTCTATTTTTATGTGGGAATTCGTTGCTGCCATCTTCCAGACTTCTCTAGACCAACATTTCCTGTATAATAATACTAGGGTGTCCTAACTGATTACAGTTTGACTATTTGAGGAATTGGTTAGCTAGTGATTCCTTTGAGGATTTGTTTGTACCAGTGAATAACCAAACTGTCTGGGGTAGGGGAGAAAGGGGGATTTTTGAGCCAAATAAATTATATTTAAAATGAAATACCAGGGGCGCCGGGGTGGCTCAGTCAGTTACGCGTCTGCCTTCAGCTCAGGTCATGATCCTGGGGTCCTGGGATCGAGTCCCACATTGGGCTCCCTGCTCCGCGGGGAGCCTGCTGCTCCCCCTGCTTGTGCTCTCTCTCTCTCTCTCTATCTTTTTCTCTCTCTGACAAATAAATAAAATCTAAAAAATATATATATATATCACTTCAGTTCTTTTTTTCCTTTTCTTAAACTTTATCAAATTAATGGTATAATCCCATGAGGGGAAAAAAATCTTTGAAAGTATAAGTTGATAACATTTAGTGATTAAGGGATCTGAGAAAGTTAAAATGTTAATTATCTGTATGTTTTTAGACCAGTCATTTTTCCTCTTTGAGCCTCATTCTTCTTAATCCTACCGCATATCCTTCCTTTCAGTTGGAATATTCTAATACAGCTGTACTTCAAATACATTACAGCTGGAAGAAGTCTTCACTTGAGCTGTTACTGTGTATCCCACCTGCCTAGTTTTGTTGTAAATGTTATCCATGGGTTTCGGGTGTTGCTGTCTAATTACTTCCTTTTTATATGGAGATTCAGAATAACCCAAAAACTATGCTCCCCCTGCCTCCTTCATCTTCTGCAAATCCTTGAAGTGGTAGAATTTTAAAAATATTTCGAAGGTACAGCTGATAGTATTTGCTGATGGTTTGAAAGTGAGTGGTGTGAGAGGGAAAAAGGAATCAATCATGACTTCATTTTTTTGAAAACGTGAATAACTGGGAGAGTGAAATTGCCATTTATAAGATCAAGAAGATTATAGGAGTAATAGCTTAAGGGAAAAATCAGGAGTTTGGGTTTATAGGCACCCAAATGGTGAATGTCAAGTATGCAGTTGGATATCTGTGCTAGGAGTTGATGAGAGAGGCTTAGGTTGGAGATATGTTTGGAAGTTATCAGCATATAGATGGGTTTAGAGCCATGTGCTAGGAGTTGATGAGAGAGGCTTAGGTTGGAGATATGTTTGGAAGTTATCAGCATATAGATGGGTTTAGAGCCATTATCCTCGGAGTGAGTATGGTGAGTGAAGACAAGAGGTCTAAGGACTGTGTCTTGGGGCAGGCCTAACATTCACAAGTCTGGTGGGTGGGGCAGGGAGAACCAGCAAACGAGACTCCGGAGTAGCAGCCCATAAAGTTGGCTCTGTTATATGAACTATGTCTTAGGAGAGTAGTTCTTTCTGGAAGCCAAGTGAAAAAGTGTTTCTGGGAGTCAGGGAGTGATCAGAGGTGTGTTAAATCCTGCTGAGAGGTTAAGTAAGATGAATACTAGGAATGGAATGGACTTGCCAACCTTGTGGACAGCTGGTCCATCGGTTATCTTAATTTCATTGGACCTCTGGAGACAGAAACTTTAACCAGAGGAGTCTTAGAGTGGGAGGCGGAGTGGAGACAGCAGGTATGAGCAACTTTTATGAGGCATTTTGCTCTAAAGATGAGCTGGAAGGGGATGTCAAATCAAGGGACAGTGGTTTTTGTTTTGTTTTTGTGGTGATGTGTTATAAGCATATAAGGTATAACATACAAGTATATATGTATAGCACAGACTATGTAGCTGGTGAGCATGAGGCAGACGTGGTGGGAAGTGATGGAAATAAGTTTCTGATTGCTTCTATTTTCTTAATGAAGTAGGAAGCAAAGTCATCAGCAGAGAGAGTAGAAGAGGCGTTAAGGTGTTCAAAGAGAGGAAATGTTGCGTTGTGTGTTGTCTGGCAGAGTACAAGAGTAAATGGACCAAGAAACTATAGTAAGATCCTTGGGTTTTATTAAGGTCCCACAAAGGTCGTGGGCTTAAAGTGAAACCAGCCATCGTGGGTGAATGGTTTTTTCCAGCCGTATTTAATAGCTGGCTAAACAGCTTACTAATTTGCAGCAGTTTCCTTAGGTAATTCCTAATTTTTGCACATTTCATGTTTCTACCAAATAACATTTTGGTAAACTTTTTTACAGACAAGCCTTTTACAAATCCATAACTCTTTAGGTTGCAATCTTAGAAATAGAATTGCTGATTGAACGGGCATGTTTATTTTTAAAGCTTATGCTATAAACTACCAAAATGCTCTCCAGAAAAGAATATACCAGTATATTCTCACTAACACTAGTGTCAGTTTTCCCATGTCCTTGCCCAAGCAAAGCAGTGCGGTGTTAAACAAACATATGCATTGTTATAACAATTTGTGCCAATTTACTAGGCAAAAGGTAGGGTGTCTCCTTATTCTAACTTGTGGTTCTATTTATTTGATTGCTAGTGAGCATGTATATCTTTTCATATTGGCCATTTTATATTTATTCGTTTTTAAGTTTAATTTTTTTAAGTAATCTCTACACCCAGCATGGGGCTCAAACTCACAACCCCGAGTGAGCATCCTCTTCTGACTGAGCCAGCCAGGCACCCCTATATTTGTTCTTTTGCAAACTATCCATTCATGTCCTTTGCTCATTTTTCTCTGGGGACATTTCTTACTAGTTTGTAGGAGCTCTTGATATATGAATGATAATAATCTATCACATACAGGGTAAACTGTCATTGGTGCTGCAAATTTTTCCCCCAGTCTGCCTTTTTAATTTTGTTTTGTGGGTATGTTAATGTGTAGAAATTAATTTTATGCTGTTGAATCTTTTGATTTCTCCTTTTATGTATGTCCTCAGAAAGACTTTTCCTACCTCAAGATTATATGTTCACCTGTATTTTTCTTAGCTCCATTTAAAACTTTCTGATTTCTATACCTCTCCAGTTATTTCCTACTCTGATTCACAAAGATGTGTGGTTTGGATTTGGTAGGAATTTATTTACCATTTCTTTTATAGCAAAGATTTGTGGAGAAGATGGACAGGTGGATCCCAACTGTTTTGTTCTGGCACAGTCCATAGTCTTTAGTGCCATGGAGCAAGAGTAAGTTAATTTCAGACTTTCACATTTTGGGTTTTGGGATTTGGGTTCACTCAACTACAAACAAACTATTTTTCAGGACTTTTAAGTATTTTGAATGTTTACATCTTATAGGCATATCTAAGACTACCTTGGTTCATAGTATCTTTTAAATATAAATTATGTGAACTCTTAAAAATAAAACATTTGTTTTTAATGTTAATATTTCCTAAGTTAAAAGAATTTTTTAAAATTCTGAAGTCATCTGGGGGTGATTGTAACTACAGTTTGACTATTAGAATTTATTTATTTAAGCAATGCATGTGTTCAGGTAGAGATCCTAATTTGTTAGTGCGCACTTTAAGCTTAATGGATGCTGTATTACTAAATCCACATAGATTTGTTGAAACTGTCTCCAAAGTTGTGGTGTTTTTTTTGTGTGTGTTTTTTTTTTTTAGATTAATTACTGCTGCATGCCCTTTAAGGGAAAAAAATCTACATATTGATTCATTTAGTATTTATGAAAAGGGCATAGTTAGATATAGTACCTGCTTTGAAGGAAGTTACAGCCTATTAAGAGAAATAGGGTTATGTTCTTTGGTTACATGTAATATGAGGTAGCATGTGTCACATCTCAGAGGAAAGCTACAAAGTTTCTAAGAGACAGGAGAGATTACTTCCATGTGTAGGAACCAGGAAGGACAGCATGGGAAGGAAGGTAGTGTGGACCTAGGCTTTTAAGATACAGTAGGCACAGAATGGAAAGAGTATATTTTTCCCAGTTAAGCTCTTTCCTTGGTCATTCCCTCAAATTTTCCCTTTTTGTCCATGTGCAGGCACTTTAGTGAGTTTCTGCGAAGTCACCATTTCTGTAAATACCAGATTGAAGTGCTGACCAGTGGAACTGTTTACCTGGCTGACATTCTCTTCTGTGAGTCAGCCCTCTTTTATTTCTCTGAGGTAAAGTCTGCATTTCCTTTCACACTCTGTTAGAGCATTCCAGCCTCTAAACTAGAAATGCTGGGGCCCCCTCTATAGAAAATAACATGGAAGAGCCAAATCATTTCCAAAAAGATCAGTTGGAATGAAGTAATTTTTTTATGTTAAGTTGTACATCTAATGGCAAGAGTACTTTAATGGCATATTAGATTAAAGAGAACATGAAAATTCAGTGTAAAATAACTCTAATTTTGAAAAAATCAAACTTCTGCTTATAAGAGACTGCATATTTTTAATTATCTAGAGCCATTTTAAAACCACAGATTTGATCCTTGATTCCAGTGCACACATATTTGCAGACCAGACTTCAGAAGAGAGAAAGAAAAGGAGTAAATTTTTTCCTACTATCCTCACTTTTACTTTAGCCACTTGATAGGATTTCTCAAGTAGTGAGTAGATTAATGTCTTTGAGGTGTACTATATAATGGTATTTGTTAGGTTTCGGCAAATGAAATTCTTTTGTTGCAAAGCAAATGACTATTAAGTAGAG